GATAAAATTTTGACTCTATATTTTTATAAGTTTTAACACAAATGAAAGAAATTAAAAAGAAATTAAAAAATATATTAAAAAATAAATAAATTACCTCTCGAGATTTTATCCTAGCTACAACGAATAACGCTAGAAATATAATTATGCCCACAAAAAACCAGATAAATTTGGTTTTATTTAGATCAAAGAACTCCGATATAGATTCTGTTATATAAAAAAAAAAAGAACAATTGAAATAAATGTCTATAAATAAAATAAAATAATTTTTTTTAAAAAAAAAATAATCGTAAACCGGACTTACTAATTTGTTGAAAACCATAATTATTGTCTAAAAGTTGTGTAGTATTTCCCCATGATATGCCCGTATACATCTTCTGATTGATTAACAGATTTAAATCATCTCTTATCTTTGTGCTAATTAATTTTTCATCATTTCTTGCCTCACTAATTGAAAGTGGTATAATAATTTGTACCGAATCGGACCAAGGCTTAACAATTTGAAAATGATTATTTGAGCTCAGTCTTCCTTGTTCTGTTGGAATTATAATTGTGAGTTCTTTTAATAGATTGGTAAAAAATTCTTGTTTTCCTGAATCATTCAATCCTAGAAAATACTGTGATCCACTTGCTGTCAATTGCAACTTTCCATGGATATTGGCTAATTAAGTTGTAAATTTAGAATTAGCATTTAAATATACAGTATAAATTTATAGAATAAAATAATTCAAATAGTTTAAGTTAGATTACCAGCACGTTTACTTGATAGTATGTTATTATCTATTTAAATAGATAGATTAGATTAAATCAATTTAAATATTTAAAGGAATACACTTATAAATATAATAAAAACCTGTTTGAAATTTCCATATATTTTGATTAATTCCCATTATTGGTTCATTATAATCTGCACTTTTTACGAAATTGTTATCCATTTGTATAAAATATTGGCCACTTGGATCATTGAAGGTACAAGAAAGTACATTGAGATTAAGTATAGTGCCTGCAGCGGAGCAGATACTAGTATCACAAGTTCTTGAATTAATAATCTGTCGAAGAATATTGGTCTGGTTTTTTACTTGATAAATAATTAAATTGCCATCTGAAAGCGAAATACGATCATTGAAATTGACGCTGATCTTTATGGTACTCAAATTTAAATTGCTCATGTCTCTTTGAGGGTATGTTGAATTTATATGCAGGTTGTTATAACCACTATCTATAAATATATATATATATGTGTGTGTTATTAGAGTTTTATTATCTTGATTAAATTTAAAAAAGCTCTACCTTTATACTGAGAGAGTGGTGGTACGTTGATCGAAAGAAGGATCCAAGCGTTAGATGATGTTTCATTTAGCGCCACTAAAATAGTATTATTTCCTAATATATCAAAAGCGCCAACTAAATTTGCGATAATAGGTTGTTGTGGTGGCAATGGTTTATCTGATTCATTGTAAAGTGCAAAGGTGAAATTTGCAATTGATACATTATTCAATATTAAAGGTACTTGTGATATTAAAGCATATCCTCCAAGAGGCAATGTTCTGACATTTGCCGCAGTCAAATTATATATTGGATCTAAAGAAAGCACGGTTCCAGTGGAAAGAAAACGTACTTTAATGTAAAATAGGCTTGTAGTTATATTAAGAGGTGCAGTAGTGTTAACATAGGTGATATTAACTGGCGTAGTAGCCTGTACGACAGCAGTCGAAGTCGCGCTGACAACTGTGGTTGTAGATACATTGAGAAGAGTTACATTTATAAGAGGCTGTGCTTGAAATACTCTCTGTGTTGCAGCTATAATACACGAATGACCAATGAAAACGTAGTCAATAGAGCATATTAATCTAGAGAACGTTATATTAGGAGTAGGTAATTCATATAAAATAACTCTTTCGCTTGTTTCAGTTTGATTATAACTCAATAATATGGCATATATTCCTGCTTTCGGAGTAAATTGGGTTGATAACTTATCGGAAGTTATCCCATTAGTCGTATTAGCATAAACAATTGAATATCCATTATTCAAAGTTGCAAATACGGTAACTTGGAAGCTAGTAAAAGGTAAATTTTGAACACTAATAATATCATTATGTAGTAAAGAGAATATTCCATTGCCCACACTTAAAAAAAAAAAAAAAAAAAAAAAAATTAAAAAAATTAATCGAGTACGTGTGTATGAAATTTATATTTAAAATAAGGCGACGTACTATCCATATTGCCTCCATTCAAAATTATTTATTCCACTCACTGCGGATAAACGCAAAAATCCCTTTCGAGGATCAATATTATTTACAAAATATTCATTTGGTACCCAATTTTTAGTACCTCGTTGCAAGTAAGATTGTCCAAAATTGAACATACTGACATAGAACAGATAATAATAGTATAAAATCAATTTTTATTACTTAAACACTTAAATATCAATTATATCTTTTTTAACAAACCTCATAACATTTCCATTCCAATTTAAAACCATCCCCTTATCTATATAGGTCGTATTATCAGAGGTATTAGTTGCATGAGTGTATGTCACTAGGATGTATTGATCAAATAGTGGATAAAAATTCAGAGGAATTTTATTTCCATTAATTGTTGCAACGTTGCAAAAATTAATATCTTGTATTTCACTAGTATTATAATAATTTATTTCAAAAACATTTCCGTTTGCTTGAAGAACGCGAAGTAATAACCTCTGTTCATAACAGTACTTAGTGCCATTAGAATAATTAACTCGACCGACACGAACAACTGCCGTACCCGCATTATCTTGATAATGTCTAATAGCCAAGATATGAGGTGGAGTTTTAGTAAGATTAGGTTGACTAGATGTTTCTGAATAGGTAAAAGTTGAATAATTTAAATTTATTGGCGAAGATTGCGTAGTTTGCGTAAATGCTGTTGGTAAAACAATCAACAGGAAAATAGAAATAACTTTGAATATAAAAATATATGGTAGAGTCTTCATTTTGTTTGGAAGCAAAAAAGTTTGCTGAGTTTAAATTATAGCTTTAAAAAGTATAAATAATTTTATCAAATGGAACATGACAGTTTATTGTGACACAATTGTATAACTTAACTTGTAATTGACTATATATGTTCAATGAATTAGAGTTAATTTAGAAAATATATAACCATATTTTCTTTTAAGATAATGTCGAGCATCTATTTATGGGAGATGCAATACCGATACACCGAGAAAAAACGCAAAACAATCAAAATCTTAAATCTTAAATCATAATTATGAATATGAATTTTTTTTTTTTTTTTTTTGATACTCTACAGAATAGGCGGGCAATATGCTCCGCTAATGATTAATTTTTTAATATATTCAGCGAAGTTTGCCCACCTATTCTATAGAACATTCAAATTTTTTCTCACGAAATTTTGGTATGACCGCATTTTCGAACCAGAAACAGGAGTAAACTTCTAATTTTAACCTACCAACGAAGAAATTCCCGTGAGTTCAATGCACTTTGAAGAAATTTCCATAAATGGACATGCAAATCAGCCTCTCATGCGTACAATCACGCAATAACAATAAGGCAATTATAATGTTGATACGTATCCACAGATACTATTATTATCGCCCAATATCTGATATTAAAGCATCACATGGGGTGTTATCAATACAGCAATAGAAAAGCTCATTTTTACAAATTTTTTAAATTTTTTTTTTTTTTTTTCTTTTTTTTTGATTTTTGAATAGATATATATTCAATAAAATCTTTTGCTTTAAGTTACAAATGTTAATTATATAATAAATTCCACAAAATGAACTTTTAAGTCAAAAATTTTATATATGTTACTATTTGTAGATCATTGCTTAAAATTGATTTACCCAAACACGCCATATATTTTAATTGAATAAAGCAAAACTTGATTATATTAATTTTAGTGGGTTGCCCACAGGTAACTGATTTTCATCAATTAATTAGGAAAATGATATAGATTTTGGTTTTGATAAAACAATATAAACTTTTACTCACGACATCTGTACTGCTCCAAATTAAGCACCCACCGAAAATAAGCACCACTGGCTCGCACTATTACAAATCTGGCCTGCTTTATAAGGGGTGATTTATAACCTGCATTATATACAAATAAGGGGTGCTTAATTTCGGAGCTTAACAAAACGGGAAAACATCCTTTTTATACCTTTTGACAATTAGAAGTTTCTATCGACCACTTGTTACAGGAAAAGACACACTTTCTACATGAAATTCTATCTTTTCTACACTCTTTAATGCCTATATTCAATCGTTTATAGTTTCATAGTAAAAACTCAATATTTCCTTCCTGATTTGCGTAATTAGTATAAAAAAAAAAAAAAAAAAACATAATATAAATAAAAATAATAAAATTTGTACAAGCTCTTTTACTTGTTCTTCCTGATTTAGATAAGTGGCGTAATAATAAAATGGAAATAACAGTAAAAAAAAAAAAACATAATATAAATAATAATAATAATAATTCGTAATTCGTATAAGCTCTTTTACTTGTCATGACTTACAATAAAAACGTATTTTTAACATTGGCTTAAGAATTTGAAAAATTTTTATATTTAGAAATTCCAGATCTAGTAATAATCATAATTTTAGAATTTAATTTTCGAATTTTAGTTAAAACTAGAACATGATCATGTAGGCGCCTTGAATTAATAGTAAAAATATTTATATTAGTTAACTAACTTGCACTTACATTATAATCTTCTTAATGACTAAAGATTGAACCCAAGTAGAAATGAGTACTGCAAAGCAAAACCTGCAATGATATTATATAATTAATCACTATATTATCAGTATTCGATCTTTTCGATAATACATATTAAATTGGTGATTAATATGTAATATCAAAATCTAACAAGGGCTAAGTTTGCTAAAGTGTAATATAATTATTATAGATTTTTGCTTTGTAACATAGTAAACTTTATTGTGATTATTTGATTTTTGTAGATAATCCTGTTAGTTAATCGAAATAAATCAGTAGCGGCTTAAGCCCTGTTACGGTAAAAGACTTAAAATATTTACTTTGCAGGTTTTATTATTCAGTACTCTTAATTTATTTATCATCGGATGTAACATTAATTTAGAAGTGATCATCAAACCCCTTTGCAACGTCCGTCTTTCATTGAGGTCTTTGACGATCAGTGATTATCAATTAATCAACCCGGCAAAAAAAATTTAAACAAAAAATAAAATAAAAAAATGACAAAATTCATGAAATAAATATAATTTTAAATCTGATTCACCGTAAAGACATCAATAAAATGAACCTTTTCATAATTAAAATTTACTTTTGGATCAAAAATTTTTCGAATTCACCTATGTTCACGTTCACGTTCATGTTCATTTCATGTTCAGTACATGCATTATATATAAAAATGGCGGGAGTGGAAATTTCCTTTTATAGCATTAAGGGAAAATTTTCTTAGTCGATCTCTGCAAATGCATTTATATGACAAATAATATAACATCAATAAACCAAAATTATAAGGAGGAAAATAACTGTTAGTGGGTGTTGCTATATGTAATTTATACTACGTACGATCATTTTATTATAGTAATTTATTATAAAAATCACGTACCTTTAAAACGTTCTAACTAATGATATAATAAAATGATCGTAGTATAAATTACATATATCGCTGCACTATTACTAAATCATTTGATATGCAACAGTGTTTAATTAGCCAATAATGATAAACAAAAAAAAAAAAATTTACATTTCATTTACTTTATGGTTAGGGCGAGGCCTGGGATTTTATCTAGGCATTAAATAAATGTAAAATTTAGCAATGTATTTTTTTTTTTTTGTTAGAACGTTGAAGGTGGTTTCATAGGCGAATTCTCGAGATATTGACATTTTTTTTAAAAAAATATATTTTTGTTACACGAATTGATTTGCTCGACCTGCTCCTGCAAATTCATTGGCCAATTAAACACTAGTGATGATCACCACCAGTTATAGTAAGCAAATAAACGGACGACTATTATTGGATTTATACATTATCGTTATGCTATTCGATTAATATGATCGAAGATTTTAAACCTTCATTGATATTATTCTTGGATTTATGCAATATGCTATTCGATTATCATAATATGCTCGAAGATTTTATAAATTTAGAATCCTCATTGATAATGATTGAAAATTTTATAAATTTAGAACCTTCATTGATAATGATTGAAAATTAAGTTTATAGAGACTACATTAGATCAAAAATAAATATATAAAGGCTTTCTTTCCTGTATTAATCGTTTATCTCATAAGCTCAATTCTCAAGAAAACAAGTGGGTTTTCTATATAACTTTTATATTAAAATCAACCATTTTTATTTTCTGCGTGAAAAATTATTTGCTAAAATTTACTAATTTACTCTTAAAACCAGATTCTTAGTTTTATTGTAAATATGGAATTAAAACTTGTTCTCTTAGTCTTAGCTTTCATTATTTCCTTTTCAAAAGCAAATTACAATAATGTAAAGAGAAATCCAAAAGTATGTCCTAGTGCAATGTTGTCGGCCACTTCAGGAATGGATATTAAAGGACAAATGCAATTTTATCAAGATAGTAAAGGAGATGTTTGGCTTACAGGTAGGAAAAGCAATTTTTTTCATTAGTATTATATGTAAAAAATAGGTGATTATAATCTGAATACAAAAACCTCTCTAAAAAGCCCCTGTTGGGACTATAATAAAAAAAAGGTGTATTTAGAGCGAGTGACTGCATTTATGTTTAGAGAGGTTTATTGTATATTTTATCAGATTTACTATAACTATTCACACTTTAATCATCACATAGTTTAAATTGGTTAATAAATATTTAAACCTATCTTTTTTTTTTTACTATCCCTACTTATAGGCATCTACCAGTATGGTTTCCAAGATCCAAAAGATTGGGATTATTGTTGGACTATTCAAAATGCTTGTGGCGATATCGTATTTAACCTTACCTCTGATCTTGGAATTGAATTTGTTAAAGATAGTGGATGTAATGGATATGATGATGATAATTCAAAAAGTAATTCAAATTATTCAAAAAGGTATAACACCTTTAGTAAAAGAAATAAGAAAGAAACATGTGAGATTGGGCCTTATGGTACTAAACCTTGGGTTATAAAATTAACTGATCTTAGTTGGGATTGTAATAATTGTGGTTTTAAATATCAAACTTGTTCAGGAAAAGATATTTACAAAGATATGGTTCCAGATTATAGTAAAGAAAAACAACCAGATAGACTTAGAAGTCAAGGAAAAGAATCTGGTTTGTACTTAGTAATAGATGGGCAAAGTAAATGTGGAAAACGTGACGACAGTTCATCTGCTGCGACAATTAATGTAAACGATGCAGGTGGGGAGGTTAGTCCTGCTAAATAAGTATTTTTCTATATTTCCAATTTTTATTGTTAGAAGTATTATATTGTTAATTATTTATTCATAACCAATTTTGTACATTTTGTAATTCTTAAAAACTATTATTAGTCTTATATCAAATTTTTTTATTTAATAAAGTTCTGACACTTGACTAACTTGTCAAAAGACGATTTATACATTCTATTTCTGTATTATAATGTACGGTTTGATCATATTAACAATTTATTTATATAAATTTTTCTTCATGATTATAAATTAATATTAATCTAGTTAAAGGCATAATACGCTATACGTATTTCTTTTTTAAAAAATAGCGTTCATAAACCATTAAATTAAATCATTTTTTAACATTGATTGAAATATTCAAGTTGCTCAATTCTATTAAATCATGCTTTATTGGGTGTCACCAATCAATTTAACACAAACAAAGCGTTAGGACAAATTGTTTGTTTGTTATTTTTATAAAACGTTGCCTTTTATGTACGATGAAAAGGTGAAAATTGGTTCTAGGTTAGAACTCATCCGGAGGTTGGAGGTTTGGGTTCACTAATCTATACAAATAAATCGAGATAATCCAAAAAAATCCAATTGAGTGGTAACCCTAGCTTGGATAAGGCTTGAAAGAGGCAAGGATTAACTTGGTCCGAGGTTAGGGTCACTTGGGTAAGTATTTTGATTATAATAGTTGGGTTTTGGGATTGTCTTGGTCACGTTTATCGGAAGTCACGATTTGATCACGATTTGGTTGTCACGAGGGCACAAAAATTATTATGAGTCGATTCTACGTAACAATTACGAAACTGATCAATTGTTTGATCAGTTTAAGGACTATAAAAGAGTATGTGATAGAATAATTTGGGTACTTTTACTCTAACTAGAAACTGAATTTTACGAGAAAATATCACGTGGACAAGACAGATAAATTTAACGATTCAAGAAAAACGATTTATAACAATTTAAAAGGAAACGTATTTAGAGACAAGCAAACACTTCTTTTCAAGACTATTCAAGACTCAGAAGGTTTTACTTTTTGAACTCTATGAGTTGAGTTTTTATTGAAAGAGAATTTTCGCCTAATATATACTTCTTTACATATGTAATAAAATAATAATACGTACTAATAATGCTATCGATACTAACTATACTAATTATTACTACTTTTGCTATCTTACCAAGAATTCGGGTAACTATAACGATTTACATAATGATATCTATTTTGAGGGGATCGTTAAAGCCAGGTTCGTTAGGGTTAGTTTTTTTGATGCATTCAGTAGTTTATTTATATATAGATATCAAG